CAGTGCCTCACACAGTCAAGCATGATTTAACTATATTCTTGCATGTTTTGATCAGTTGTAGTTATGTTGTGTTTAAAACCAATGTAGTATATTATGTTGTATTCTATTTTACGGTATTGTGTTTGTGCGGTACTGCATTGTATGTTTGCATTACATTATCTTGTGTTGTACGACGGTATAGCACAGTGTACAGCACGGTACTCCACAAAACTCCACTATATATATATATATATCACAAAATGACATCGCATGACATTCTCCCAGAGCCTTTCTGATGGGGAGCTCTTCCACCATGGTTCACTATGATGCTTCGTCGAAGTTTCCCAGAGAGCCCAATATCTCTTAATTACGGAATATACCTTAAACCATAATATGAACTCCCCTACTTGGAGGGTCGGGAGACTTAGTAAGTAGGCAATAAGTAGACTTGTAAGTGCCCTAAAGGGGACCCTAATTGGGGTTATAGTACTTATAAGTCTATAAAATAACCATTTACTAAGTCCCCCGACCCTCCAAGTATAGTTTAAGGTATACTCCTTGATTACGGAGTCTTGGGCTCTCTGGTTGACACCTAGTACCGAGGGCTTAGTCAAGGAGCTTGAGGCCGAACCGTTCCGTGAGGCTGATGTTGGGTTTGGGGATATTTGAGGGTTTAGGGTTTAGGGTTTAGTCTGATCGAGGGTTGAGGGAAATCTAAGCCCTAAAGGGTCTTAGGGGTTTAGGGGTTTAGAGGTTAGGGGTTATTTAGGGTTCAGGGCTAAAATCCTAGAGCCTTTGTTTAGGGTTTCCTCCGGAGGCGTCGAAGCAGACAGAACTCAAAGCCTCTCGCGGGGTAATTTTGTTAAGTTTGGCTCTAGGGTTTAGAGGGCTTAGGACTCTAGGGTTTACGCTTGAGGGCTCAGGGCTCTGGGGGTATAGCTGTAGGTATCTAGGTTTAGGGTTGTAAGGTTGAGGACTGCCGGGTTTCAGTATTCAGAGAGTCCCTCTCTGGTTCCCCAGCTCGACTATGAGTTCGAAGCCCTACTCTACTTTTTGTAGGTTTAGGGTTTAGGGTGCCTAAATATTTCCATATCAGGGCCTATAATAAGAACCTACCAAAATTCAGTTTTGGTTGTTGAAGGCCAATGTAAAATAACCCTGTAAAGCACTTGTAATGCTAAACCTTACACCCTAAACCCTAAACCCCAAACCCGTAACCGTCGTCACATCGACTGCGAGGTCTGGGCTCACAGAGAGGAGTCGCATCGTGGAGGATGCCTGGTGTTCTACAGGGCTCCGGCCGTTTAGGATCCCTTAAAACGTCGATGGATGTCCCTGAACCCGAAACCCTAAACCCTAAATCATACATCCCCAGTCGTAAACCCGAAGCCCTAAACCTTAAACCCGAAGCCCTAAGCCTTAAAACACCCCCAAGGAAAAGGGCCCTTAAAACAGACAAAACACACCAAACCCACAACCCTCGACACTTTACCGAGGCACTCAAGGCTTAAGGCTTGACACTGACGAACGAAAATCTGCACTCCCTTCAGACAAGACCGCTTGATCAATCACGCTAAGCCCTACCGATGATGATGATGGTGGGGCTAGAAGTATCGATGAGAGTAATCACCGCAGCTTTGATGCCTCACACCGTATAGCATCGATTCCGGGGGCGCGGTTGACGGCGCCGAGGTCTCGGGTTTAGGGCAAGACTTTCGATTCAGGATTCAGTCATCATCGTCGTCAGTCATCATCATCTTGTCTACGTTAGCAACCCCGTCCTGATTTCGGGCGGCAGTCCAACTTCCTTTGTTGTTGGCGGCCCGCCTACTCGTATCTCGGGTTTTGGATCACGCGTTTCCCGCCGACCACCGGCCACATAGCGCCGACGGCCTCCAAAATTAGAAAGATCACTCGAGCTCTAGGGTTTAGGGTTTAGGGCCCTCGATCCCTAGGAGGCGCGCTCCCAGCGCTACAAGCACTTGGTCGATGTCATGCAGGTGGCGCAGACGCGCAGCGCTGCTCATAGGATAAGGTTGTTGGTGATGATGGTGAGGATGGTGGCGGAAATAGAAGTGGAGTTGATGAGAGTGAGGCTGATGATCATTCTGGGGATGATTTTGTCTGTGCAAATAGACTAAGACGATGGGAAGCACATTGAGAGTTTTGTCGGGACTCGCAAAACTCAAAGTGCTCGGTACCTGCAACAACGGCTCCAGCAGTGGTCACCACCAGCAGAAGAAGCATATCAGCATTCTCAGCAGCAAGAGTGGAAACGACAAGAACTGCAAGTTAGAACAGTAGCAGTAGTGACAGTAGCTACCGGAGAAAAAGCACGGAGCAAAGGCACGACAGACTCGTAGCTAGTCACAGTTAGCGAGTACAATAATATGATTCTGATGGCAGTCGCGATGCTCATGCCCACAAGTTCTGGGGCTTGCGAGTCACTATGCCTGTTCTCCAAGCTCTAAACCCGAAGCCCTAGTCCTTAAATCCTACACCCAAGCCGAAACCGCCAGGTGTCTGTGAAAGAGGACGCGCAAACTGCACGGCAGGAGATCAGTGCGAGGGCGGAGGCTCGGCCAAGCATCCGAAATCGTCTAGAAAATTGTCGTTTCTGCATCTTTGTCGAAGTATCTCACGTGATCTGTAGTGAGCATCGAGTATCCTCGCAGCACCATTACCACACCACCACCAACCACGCCACCGCCGCCACTGCCAGCACCACCGCCGCCGCCGCCGCCGCCACAACCGCCACAGCTAGCACCACCACCGTCGCCAGCACCCCATCATGACCTCCGGCAGCACCAGTATCACCACCCTCACTTTCCCTTCATGCCCTTTTTCATCACCATCGCCATCACCATTACCTTCGTCCATCACCGTCACTCATCGCCGTCATCATCACCTTCATCTGCATGATTCTCATCATCACCATCAGAATCACCGTCATCACCACGATCACCATCGCCACCATCAGAATCGCCATCTTCACTATGATCACCATCGCAACCATCGTCATAGCCATCATCATAGCCATCATCATAGCCATCATCATCATCATCATCATCACCACCATCATCATCATCATCACCATCACTACGACCATCATCATCACTACGACCAGCATAATCACTACGACCATCATCATGACTATGACCCATCATCACCACTACGACCATCACCATCATCGTCATCAGCACATCTTCAGTGTGAGCAGAATGCATGGCCTGAGCCAAAGCAGCCCTGGCCCGAGCTTCCTTGTTTCACTTCGGGGGTTACTCTATGGGGTTCTATGAAGGTTACTTAAGGGGTTACTCTAAGAAGGGGTTCTATGAAGGTTGCTTAAAAGGTTACTTTAAAGGGGTTCTGTGAGGGTTACTTAAAAGGTTACTTTAAAGGGGTTCTATGAAGGTTGCTTAAGGGGTTATTTTAAAGGGCTTCGATGAGGGTTGCTACAAGGAAAGGCTTCTACAGGGTTACGGACTGGCTAGTTTAGGGCTACGAAAACAGGGGAGATTACTATAAGGGTTTTTTGTAGCACTACTATAGACGTCGGCTTTAAGACCTAACTTCCCTGCCCTTTGGCGAGGTGTCCAAGGAGACAGTGAAAGGAAACGTGCAAATTCAGGACCGCGCGCCACGAGTTCGTCGTTCCAGAATTGTGCGTGTAGACTTGGGCACAGTCACAAAACCCTAAGCCCTACCTAAGCCACCAAGCTGTCTCCCTTCGCAGAGCCACGCTATGTAACAACCCCCCAGCCCGCAAATCCACAGTACATTGTACAGTTCCATAGGAACTGTATGGGACATGGTATTATCATTTGGTGAGATTTACAGTTATTTTCTAGTGATATGCTTTAGACTTTCATTGCCACTAACTTTATTGTTATTATTGCAACTTATTGTTATTATTATTATTGTTATTTTCTTCATCTTTTTCTTCTTATTCTTATTCCTATTCCTATTCTTATTCTTATTCATCCTCATATTCATATTCTTATTCTTATTCTTATTCTTATTACTCTTATTGCTGTTATAATCTTACCACGACTATTTTGTATTATTCTTCTTCTTCGTATGCTTCTTCTTCTTACGGCTATGACAGTGACTATCATCATTATGACTACTACCATGATGACTTTTATGTTTTGTTACTACTGCCATGAAGCATTCTTCAGACGCTAAGACCCTACGTGGGATCCGTTGAGCTCGGAGCTTCACCCAGAGAGCCCAGTACCCCTTAATTCAGGGATATGGGGGTTTCCAAAAATAGGGGACCCTAATATAGTACCCTAAATAATAGGTTCCTTATTATAAGGACCCCAAAATAAGGTACCCTAATTTTTGGAAAGTCCCATATACACCTCTTATTATAGGGGCCTTAGTGTTTAGATTTAGATCTAGATTTAAGGCATATTCCTTACTTAAACCCTAAACCCTAGACCCTAGACCCTAAACCCTAAAATTCCTTAATTAAGGGGTATCGGGCTTCATCTGAGGCCCCTGCAAGGGCAAACCCCCCCAAACCATCTGGGTAGTTCTCTAAGTTAGGATCCCTTTTAAGGTCCCTTAAAGGGATCTACAGGGTTTCTAAGGGTGCAATTTGGGTAGCTCTCTAAATAAGAGTTTCTGTTAGGGACCTGTTTATGAACGTGCCGTACTATTTGGGGGACCTGAAACGGGACCCCAATTTGGAGAACTACAGCCGCCCGAAGGAATTTTGGAGAAGGCTAGAAATCAGAGAGCCCATACCCCTCAATTAAGGAGTATACCTCTTATTATAGGGGCCTGAATATTAAGATTCAGCGTGTATTCCTTAATTTTGGGCTCCCTGGGAACGGCTTAAACCTTCAAAAATTTCCTAACTCGACGTCTGGCTTCTGTCTCCTCGTTGAATCTTTGTTTTTAGGGTTCAGGGGTTTGGGGTCTAGACCCTAAACCCTAAATCCTAAACCCTAAACCCTAAACCCTGGGTTTTAGTTGAAAATTTAGGGCATGGCAAGAAGGAGCGCCTCCACTAGGTGTTGAGGAGCCTTAGGGTTGAGGGGTTTAGGGTTTAGGGTTTAGGGTTTAGGGTTTTAGGGGTTTAGGGGTTTAGGGTTTAGAGTTTAGGGTCTAGGGTTTTCTATACTAGAGTATACCCCAAGACCCTGTTAAAGTATTCACGCATTCTATAGTACAGGCATCCCTTTCTGCAGTTTGCAGTCCTCCAAATGTGTCAGTTGACAGAAGAATCCACATTAAACCCTTAACCGCTAAATGCTTAGGGCTCAGGGTTTAGCTGGGCACCCTAAACCTGAATCTCTAAACCCCAGAGGCCATAAAGCCCTAAATGCCGCCATCCAGCCTGTCGATGGAATCTCGCAGGAGAGCCAGGTAAGGGCAGAGAAGAGCAGCCAGCCTCCCATCTTCTGGTAGTGGGGTTTCGGGTTTGCCATAGAGACCCTTAGGGGGGCAAGGGGGGAGGGGGAGTAGGGGGGAGTTAATACCAGTAATAAGGGCCTAGTAAGCCTAAGAAGGTAGATTTAAGGAATTGCAGTGCCCAACCCCCCCCCCCCCGCACCCTGCAAGGGTGCCTATGAGTTTGGGGTATAAGGTTTGACGTCGCATGTTTTCCTCCGCTTTTGCACCCCCAAAGCCCGCAACCACCACCTTTCACAGGCCTGAATCTCTACGAGCCCCAAGCCACAAACCCTAAGCTATGGTTGAGGATGGGAAATCCTGCATTACCCATAATAAGGAGCCTACCATAATTCCCATAGTTGAGGGTCCTCAAGGCCTCAAGGTACTGCAGGGTTTATATCATCAACAGTAGTTTGCAGCCCATTATATACAAGTTATTGCAATCTATCCCACCTAGGTGGTGAAAAAACAATGTGTCGTCGTGGTTGTTGTTGCCGTCGTCGTCGTTGCTGGCCATGATGATGGTGCTGTTGATGATAGTGATAGTGTTGATGGTGACGATGGTGATGATGTTTGCTACGGTGATGTTGAGGGTGGTGGTCGATACTGTTCGCCATCATGAGAACCTGCATGTTATGCCCATGATGGCCGTCATGATGTTTGCCTTCGATGATACGTTTTTACAAAATCTCTTCTTCCTGTTGTGGAGGGCAGCTCTTTGGCTGTTGGTACTGTGATGGTACAGTAGCGATGCTGGTGTGAAGGAAGGTCGCTATTGCTAGAGTTAGTGTCCGTAGCAGTGTCTGTAATCGCGCATGATTGTCTTGCAATGTCGCCTCTATTCCTCGTCCTCCTACAGCAGCAACTATACTACGAGACAACAACAACGACAGCCGCCGCTGCTACTGCTACTCACTCCCACTCCTACTCCTACTTCTCCTCCTACTCCTAGTGCTACTGCTGCATGATCAGTTGTTGCTCCACCATCGGTTATGGATTTCTTTACACCGTTGACTCTTAGAGCTCTCGATCGCTGAGGCTCCAACTTTTGGCAATGGGCCCAAAGCTCAGCTCAGACACAGACCAGCACTTCAAACCCTAAACCCTGAACCCTAAACAAGCAGTCTGGTAGGTTTCAGGGTTCAGGGTGCCGTCGACATGTTGGGTTAGCTTTTGTCTTGGGTCAGCCGCATCGAGACCACCTGTTTTATTGGTTTCTGTTTGCTGGCAAACTTCAGGGTTCGGAAGATACCATACTTGGAGGTTCATGTGTAGTTATAAGTGGGGGTTATAAGTCCCCTAATATGGGTTATAATTACAGTTACCCTACTTATAACACCACTTAGAACTACCCATGAACCTCCAAGTACCGTTTCACCGCTTCCAGGAGCCGGGAAGCGTCGGGAGCTCTACGAACTTTTCATCCGAGGCCTTGCGAGATGTCCCGCGTGGAATGCTGTGAGCAGCATTTGTGCTGCTTGGAGGTTCATGGGTAGTTAGAAGTGGGGTTATAAGTAGGGTAACTATAATATAACCCTAATTGGGGGACTTACAACCCCACGTATAACTACCCATGAGCCTCCATTTGCAACACGAATCATCCCGCAGATGCCTGCCTTTCACATACCCCAAAGCCTAAACCTGAAACCCTGCACTCAGACCCCTAAACCCCAAACCCTAAACCCTAAACCCTAAACCTTAAACCCTAAACCCTAAACCCTAAACCCTAAACCCGAGCCCTGCCGCCATGGCGAGCCAATCATGTGCCTTCTGCGCTCTCTCGCCTTCGCCGCTGCAGCTTCCGACGCCCTCGCGGGCCCCGGGATCCGCAAAAACTCCGCCGGCCCCAAAGTGGCGGCGCTGGGTTCTGGGCTTCGGCCTCGGTCTCCGGGCACCGCTGCGGCCGCGTTTTTCGCGAGGGCGCCGGGCCCGGAGCTCTGAAAACCCGGAAGGCTCGGTCGGACCCTGAACCCTAAACCCCTAAAACCACCTAAAACCCCCTAAAACACCTAAAACCCCGAAACCCCTAAACACCTAAACCCCTAAACCCCTAAAACCCCTAAACCCTAAACCCCTAAACCCTAAAACCCTAAACCCTGAGCACTAAAACCCTAAACCCCTAAACCCCTAAACCCTAAACCCCTAAACCCCCTAAACTCCTAAACCCTAAACCCTAAACCCTAAACCCTAAACCCTAAAACCCTAAACCGGAAGGCTCCGACTCGGCTCCAGCGACCGGGATCCCGGCTGGCTTCTCGGATGCGAAGCGGGGGAAGACGCCGCGCAACAGGTGCAGGGTCCCCCAGAGAGACTTTTTAGGGTTTAGGGTTTAGGCTTTTTTTGCTTGGGTTTCTTGCAGCTCACAGAGACTTTCCGGGCTCAAGTCTCCAAGATACATGTGTGAAGGCAAGATTTCTTGGAGACCCTGATAGATCCCTTAACAACCCCCGGGCCCTAAACCGTAAACCCTAGCCTAAACCTCAGCCCTGCAGGCTTAAACCCTAAACACCCCAAGCCCTAAACCTACACCCTAAATTCAAGCCCTATGAAGCCCAGATGCCTTCTAGAATCAGAACCTTAAGCCCCTATGCAGCCCCCTACACCCTCATCCCGGGACCCTCCAACCTAAACGCCGATCCCGGCCCCTAGACCCTAAACGCGAATTAAGCCCCTAAGCCCTCGAGCCTTGAACCCGAAACCCTAAGCCTGAGCCCTATAAAGCCCCTAAGCCTTAAAACCCTAAGCCCTACACCCTAAACACCCCTAAGCCTAAGCCCTATAAAGCCCCTCAGCCCTAAGCCCCAAACCCTAAACACCCCTTAAGCCTAAGCCCTAAAAAGCCCCTCAGCCCTAAACCCTAAGCCCTGATTCATCCCCTGGCCGATTTGGCCTTCTGACGGGTGGAGTGGAGCTGCAGTTGGAAAAAGGGGCTCAAAAAAAAAGAAGCCCTAAACCCTAAACCCCTAAAGGGTGGCTAAACCCCTAAACCCTAAACCCTAAACCCTAAACCCTAAAAGGTGGCTAAACCTGCTGGAGCGGCTCTTTCGGGATCTCGGGGAGGTCAGCTCTCGACCGCGCCGCGACGCCCGGGGGCCAAGGTTAGTTCAGGGCTTTCAGGTTTGGCGGTGTTTAGGGTTGAGGGTTGAGGGTTTAGGGTTTAGGGTTTAGTGTTTAGGGTTTAGGGCTGAAGTTAAGGTTTTAGAGTTTGGGGGGTAAGGGACCCCTTGTATCCGCAGGGCTTGTGAAGAATGTGAACAAAGGGCTTTATAAAGGTCGGGAAGGGTGTTTAGTTGCTCTTGAAACAGATGGATGCTGTTGGAATTATGTCAACTTGGAGGTATGGGTAATCCTAAACCCTAAACCCTAAGCCCTAAACCCTAAACCTCACTAAACCCAAGGGCCCCGAAGATCCAAGGCGACTTATTGGGGCCTGGTGCTTGGCTCCCTTTCTCTGGCCGTGGTCAGCGACTTCCTTGGCATCATGCGGTCCCGTGTCAACCCTAAACCCTAAACCCTAAACCCTAAACCCTACACCCTAAACCCTACAGAGTCCATATTATAGGGCTTCCTATTGTGAACTGAGGGCTTTCTATGCTTGTGGGTTTTCGCACCCGGTTTTCAATCGTTTGTCCCAGAGACCCTAAGTCCAGAAGTCCTAGATCCTGAACCCTACCTAATCTGAAATTCCTACATCTATCTATCTATCTATCTATCTATCTAGCCCTAAACCCTAAAGCTCGGAGCCTGTGCTTGCAGGCTGCTACTGAGCCTGAACCCAAGCGGCGCGCGGCAGATGGGCCTGGACGAGGTGTACCCTGTGGAGGGTCTCAAGACGTCCGCCCCCCGGGGGTTTTCTTGGGGTGTGTGTGTGTGTGTGTGTGTGTGTATGTGTAATTGTCTAAATTGGGGTCCCTTTTAGGGTCCTTTTTAGAGGGCGCCGTACTATTCTGGGGACCTAAAAGGGGACCACTACCCGTATGTGTGTGGTTTATCTTGGCTTTCAAACCGGGTTTTTATGGCCTTTAAGGGACCCCTAAACCCTGCAAACCCTGAATAAACCCTGAGGATGAAGGGAATCCCCGAAGTTCTACAGCGATTTGGCCTTTCATGCACGAGATGGATCTTGAGAAAGAAAAGATCATGGCAGCGATGATAGTGCTGTCGTAGTCAGGGTAGCACTTTAGCACGGACGGAACTCCAGCTTCTTCAAGCCTGAATCGACGGAAGTCAGATCCGTCACTAGCCTTGTGTCTTCCGGTAGTGCAATCTTGAGTCGCGCTGATGCTTGTTTCTACTTTGACTGTAGGTCAACCTGTAGCTCCTCCGGAACTGCCACCTTGCCCTCAAGTGTCTACGAGGACGACCACAACCACAACCGCCGCTACCACAACCACCGCCACCGCCACCGCCGCCACCGTCACCACCACCGCCACCACCACCACCAGCACCACCACCACCACCACCACCACCACCACCACCACCACCGCCACCGCCCAACCACCACAACACCGACCACCATCGCCACCACTGTCTCACTAATTCGGGTCATCAATGCTCATGTTGCCACTATGCATACCACAACTAATTCTAGGCTTTCTTAAAGCTTCACTGATGTCCTCTTCTCGTGACGGCTATGACAGAGGTACCGCCAGCGGGGCCGCTACCGTCTCCGATATCCCGGCGAGTGGCTGTTCGATCAGAGCGTGGCCTTCTCGAAGCAGGCCGCCATTGAGCTGCCGACCTTGAGGCACGGGGTTTCAGGCTTGTGAGGGCTTCGAGATTCTAGCTTTTTTTTTGTGGTTAGGTAAGCGTTTTGGCGATTTAAGGCTGCAGGAATTTCAGGGATTCTAGAGCTTGGGATGTGAGGGCAGGGTTTCCGCGGTTTTCGGTGTGGTCACGGCCTTTCAAGAGTACTTGGGGTTGTCATGGTTCGAGCACCAGGAGCTACACAGGCTCAATGCAAGAGTGTTCCCAGAGGTCTCCTAAGCCCTCGAGGCTCGAGGGCGTAGGGTTTTGGGTTTAGGACTTGGGGCTTAGACATTATCTGGCTGAGGCTTTTTTAGTTTAGGCGCTTCTTTTGCCCCGAACCCCCAGTCCTTCAGGTCTGAGAAGAGTTTGAAGTATTACAGGGGCCTAATTAATTAAGAATATGATGTTGGGTGTTCCTTACTATAAATATAGTATAGTGGGCCCGAAAACCCTATTCTAAATTTTAAGGCCCCTATATTACCCAAAGGCTTGCTTGGCTGTGCATTTTCCTGTATCCTATTATCTCCTATTGCGCGTGCCCTGCTTGGAGGTTCATGGGAAGTCATAAGTCCCATGATATGTCCATTGATATGGGATACAAGTATTCTTGCCCCACTTACAACCCCACCCTACTTACAACCCCACTTATCACTACCCATGACCCAAAACCCTAAGCCCCAAAGAACCCTTAAGAGGAACCCAATAGCTGCCCATGAACCTCCAAGTATCTTGAAACTTCGAAAGCTCAACCCCGTGAAAGCACCCGGGCCAAGCTTCTGAGATCACCAGCCTCAGCTGTGTGGTCCTCTAACTTCGGGTCTTGTTTAGGGTCCCTTAAAGGGGCCTATGACGGTTTGTATAGAGTTTCTATAAGGGTGCTATAGGGGTTCAATCTGGTAGTTGTCTATTTTAAGGGGCCGTACAATCACCCAACTTAGAGGCAGAAGAAACGCATCGTCCCCGACGCGGCGTTTGGGCCGGCCGGTGGCGGCTTGGCGACGACCGCCACTGCCCAAAACCTTTCTGTGGTGCGCCCAGGGTTTAGGGTTTGTATGAGCGTGCGGCATCGAGATTGGGGGCTTTGTGCTGATATCGGTTTGTTTCACTTTCATCGTGATTTGGTTGTAGTAGCACTTTTCTTGTAGTGCTTTATTGTGAAGGTTGTCAATGGGTAGCCGGTAATTTTTTGGTATGATGTTAGGCAATGTTTCATGTTTGTCGTTATTAGCACTACGACCACCGTTTAGTTTCATACGATGGTATTCTTCATGAGCGCATGCAGCATGCATGGCATAGTAGCAGCCAGTATTGAAACACAGTCGCATTGATCGGTGCCATAGGCAATAGTAGTGGCAGGATCAGCGGTGATAACGGTGGCTATAGTAAACATAAGACACCTGTTCATTATAACAGAAGTATGGGTTGATACACGGGTGTCCAAGATAGAGACGCCTTGCGACATCTTCTTGGTGTTTGGAGCTAGAGACTTCGAGCAACCAATAAGCATGATCATGGCATATTAAGTTGTTCATGAACAAAAAGAAGAACATGATAATTTCATTGTTGTTGTGAGCATTATTCCTAGTGGCAGCAGCAACAGTAGTAATAGTACTAGTAGTGCGCGTAGAAGCAACCGCATTAGCAACAACAGTTGCCGTGGCATCGGTATTGATACCCACAATATCCGAAGTACAGAAACCGAGTTATGCGACAATGAACAACCAACAACCGATGTAAACAAACTAATGACAGTGTTGGCACGACGAGCAACAATGGATACACCATCATCATCTTCTTCTGCTACTACTACTCCTGCTGCTGCTGCTACTACTACTGCTACTGCTGCTACTGCTACTGCTACTGCTACTACAACTACTCCTACTACTACCGCCACTGCTGCTGCGACTGCGATTGCGACTGCCACTTCCACTGCGACTGCCCCTGCGACTGCGACCGCGACTGCTGCTGCGACTGCGACTGCGACTGCTACTGCTGCTACTGCTGCTACTGCTGCTACTGCTGCTTCTGCTGCTACTGCTGCTACTGCTGCTGCTGCTGCTGCTGCTACTGCTACTACTTCGGATACTGCTGCTACTGCTGCTACTACTGCTACTGCTGCTACTGCTGCTACTGCTGCTACTGCTGCTTCCGCTGCTACTGCTGCTACTGCTGCTTCCGCTGCTACTGCTGCTACTGCTACTGCAGCAGCTACTGCTACTGCTGCTACTACTGCTGCCTACTGCTACTGCTACTACTACTACTACTACTACTACTACTACTAGTGTATTACTTCTACGACTGCTACTGCTACTGCAGCAGCTACTGCTGCTGCTGCTACTACTGCTGCTGCTGCTGCTACTACTGCTACTACTACTACTACTACTACTACTACTACTCTTATTACTTACTACTTACCACTTACTACTTAGTACTTACTACTTTCTATTTACTTCTTACTACTTACTACTTACCACTGATTACTTACCACTTACTACTTACTACTTACTACTTACTACTTACTACTTACTACTTACTACTTACTACTTACTACTTACTACTTACTACTTACTACTTACTACTTACTACTTACTACTTACTACTTACTACTTACTACTTACTA